AAAATATAATTAAAATTTAAACAAATAGTACGGTTTCGCAGTGCCTTATATCATCCTACTACAAATTTCAATTTATTTGCCAGTTGATATGTCTACATAATTTAATTATACTATCTATTGTTTAACTACGTTTCTCGCATTCACTAAGCTGTAACAAACTTGAAAAAATTATTATTTTTTATTTTTGTAACAAATTTTACACTCAAGATATATTGCACAATAAAACATAATTAAAGTCTGAGAAGAAAAACTAAATTATATATTTTAAATGTTAAACTAACAGTAAGGTTTACAAAAATGTGAGGTATACTTCTATTGTTTGAGGGTTATTTTTTCTGAAATACACTTTTTCATTCTATTCACAACGTCACAGTCATCTATTTTTTTATTCGCTGTAAGATGATAAATATTTTATTTTGACAGAATATTAATTTAAATATACATATGAGTGTTACTCTACCTGCAGCAGCGCACAAATCTACGTAATCTTTCAAAGTTGACAAGCTTCCACTGAATTCCTTTTTCAAAATGTTAAACTGAGAATTTACATCGATTTTTCCATTTTTGAGCTGCAAACACGATTATAATATTAGATCAACGGTTTCATCGAGTCAAACAAATAAATAATGCTTAACTCACTATTCCTTTCTTTTTAAACAGACAGGTATCAAAACATTTGAGTTTAGGGTCATTCATATTTACTTCAGATTTATCTGAAAAAATCTCTGCTCAAATATTTGTATCATTTTAACGTGAATCAAATATATTCATGGATGTACCTTTTGCTATACCACTTTCTAAAAGGCATTGTTCGAAATAGTTTTGAGCATGGCAGCAGTAATACTTAAAAATAATACAACTATGTACATATTTTTTTTTAACACTATCTACAATGCATTTTTTAATCTACACTTTTACTCACTGATAAAATAATCATGCAATAGATGAACGCTTGAGTCTTCATGATAATGAACTTCTCGACTAAGCTATAGTTTTTTTGACACTGAGAAGGTAACGCTATTTGAAACACAGTTACGTAAAAGTTCCACTGCATTATTTCATTTGCCCTTGTATTACTGTATTGTTGCATGAACAAGCGAAACAAGTACTGCGTGAGTTAAATGTGTATCACTATTCCTAAAGCATGACGGAAGTTTGTCATTTATAACTACACATTACTAAAAGTTGGGCGTTTTTATATATTCAACAAACTCTAACCATTTATTTGTTAAATATTTAATTATATTTAAAAAAGGCGTGTAGAATTCTAAAAAACTTTATGTTTAGTTATTAATACCTTGAACTTGTCAATGTTTCAAAAGCTTGAAGTAACTATTTTACTTTTGTTAATCCAAACTGGATTCAATTTTATCATGTTACGTATTTTTCACTAAAAGGATTGTGTTTTATGGAAAAAAACGTATGCGTACCTTAACCATACAAACGATGATCAGTTTCGTTTCTGGTGTTAATACCTAATGTAGTTTAAATTTTTGTAAAATTATACGAGTTACTTGGGGTTTATGTCTTATAGAAGGAAATTAAAAGACTCACGGATCAAATTCAAGTTTAATAAAATTTGTAAGCCTTTATTGATACGAAAACAATTGTGTATGCTATGTAACAGTGTACTATGTTTTGTAGTGATTTTAAATACATAATACGTTATAGTTTCATAACAATACTGTCGTGTATTTTTCAATGAACTACTTGGATAATTTTAGAGTTTTCTGTAGTTTAACTAAAGAATTTACATTGTTTTTAAAATTACTTCAGTACGTATAGTATAGCCCAGTACTTAATCTTCAACAGTTTCGTTCTCGAAAAGTTTTGTTGATTTTTCAAAACTTGGTGTTAAATCCTTCACTTTGAACGCAGAATTCGTACTCTTATCCCGAGACAATTTGTCAACGGCATAGAAATCATTGTACAACTCTTCTAATGTGTTATTAAAATTTTCATCAGATGAGTCCGTGACTTGAATGCTATTTGACTTAAAGTAAAAACAAATAAGCCATTAAAATTAACAGAATTATTGAAAAAGCTGCTAAACTTGTTTGAAAAAAAAAAAAAAAAAAAATTGTTATTAAGTTGTCAAAATTACCTGGTTTTCTATTGACTCTTGGATTGGGTGTGCCTGCAAGTATATGATGAAAGTAATGTTGTAATTAGTATCACATATTCTTCATTCACAATGTAGCTTACTATCCACAACAAAATATTTAAACTATAGTTTAAGTAAAAAGCTAAATTTATAATTTTTCAATTACCAAAGTGACTGCCAAACTCAAAAGAACAACGAGAAACATTCTAGTGAACATCTTGAAATGTATTCCACTTACGGTCTGACGGAGACTAAAGTAATACTTAAAATGTGACGATAGCCTTTTACTAGTCAAGTATAATTGGGGGTCTTCTTTTATACTTTTATGATTAATCTACAAAAGTTGCCTAAATATCTAAGATAAAGTTATCATCTAAATTAATGATTTGTCATCTTTTTGTAGTGTATTTATCATTAGTTAGAAGTAACTAATATATATTTTTATCACATTCATATCGTTAACACTTTAATTAATTTAAAAAAAAGTTATTAGAATTTCAGCCACAGCTTAATGACTCTCGACTAAATTCATAACTCTTTTGTTCAGGAAATAAGAAAAACGTAGCGAAAAATGATTATTTTTGATTGTTTTTACCAAGGTACGAACCTATGGGTAAATATGTATGTATAATTATATACATTTACTAATAAAGGAACTCTATCATTCAATAAAATAAATTTCACGAAAAATAATTTACGGGATTATAAATGTAGAAGTAACTTTTCGTAAACAGTAAAATCCGTCAAAAAATCCAGTGCTACAATAGGATACATCGTAAATTTTGTTCTTTATCAGATAAAAGCTTGTATTTATGACCAAACTGAGAGATATTTACCGTTGAAGTATTGTGTTTTTCTATGATACATTTTATTATTGGCATATAATATGGTAATAAAAGATGTGACATGACAAATACGTAAATAATACATATTTGATACCGTAAATATCAAGTGGATTTTAAATGTGGACTTGACGTTCATTTTTTTGTATCTTTTTCTTTGAAACAATCCCGCTCTTGGTTGACCAACGACTGTTAATAGATTCTCCTGAATTTTAAACTTGACATGTAGATCCAATTTTCATTTTAACACTTACAGTTTTTTAAATTCAATTACTTATAAATATGGATATGTTTTGCAGACAAAAATAATATGATCTGAAGATATAAGTTTGAACTTATTTGTCTTAATCTTTAAAATAATCTTCTAAATTTTTAATAAAAGCCGGGCTATCACTGCATACAATTTTTTATTAAAAAATAATTTTAGTCATCGTTTAAAACTTGCTGCTACGTGCAAAGTAAAAAAGATTAATTTTATCTAAACCGGTTTTTCCGAATTTTTTTAGCTTCAATAATAAATCACGCTAATGATTTAAATGAATTTTAATTACCAAAATTAATTAATTCAATGGTAATTGATTGTCTCATTACACTTAAATGTTCATTTGTCAGAGCATCCGAGTAATTGTTCGGACATCGGACATTGTTATTAACTATCAGTGAAAAGAAGCAAAACTAAGCAGAACAAAGTACTGACAAGCCCAAAAAATCATCCACAGAACATTGACAGGACTTGTCAACATGATTTGATTCCCATATGCATGTGCCTATTGTTTAAAATACAGGAGGAGCTACATGGTACTGGAAAATAAAAGTTCAAGGTACTTTATGAACATTAATGCCGATTTGAGAGAGGGTCTACTCTAATCTCAGTAGGGGAGGGGGGGGGGCGTCAGAAAAAATCCAATTGATATTGGGCACATTGACTCTAACGAAAACTAGCTCTCAATATTAATTAAATTGGCAATTATAACTGTAATCTGTCAAGTTTTAATGCTTTATCTTCGTGCTTGGTGTGTCTAAATACATGTGGGTTCGTGTAATGAAACAGTCCACAAAATTAAACGCACTTGTCACGAAAAGATATGAAAATTTGTTGGTATTATCGTTAGATTCGTTGTTTTTCAATAAACTTTATTTCTCATGTTTCTAATAAAAAATAATGCAATTGTTTATTACAAGTCGTGAGTTATTCTTGCAATCAAAGGTGAAGAAATCACGAAAGAATTTCAAACGACTTTGAACATAACATATTTCGTTTTAAAGCAGTGCGTGACGTCGAATAGAATTTTTTTTTTCAACGAAAAAATTGCCAAGTAATTGTACCTTGCAGTACAAAGTACATAGGGTTATAACAATAAGGTGTTGATTTCCCATTGATATTAAAATAGCACAGCCTTACAACTTGCAAATTCGGATCTCGGTAAAAGAGATATTAAAATCAACTTGGGGTTCATTAAATTGAATTTCATATTTTTTTAGCAATAACAAGACTTTATCAATTTTGTAAATTTCAATCACTTTTTCAATAGTGTTTTCAACAAGTTACTAGTAACTTCTTGCTTTTGTTCATTTATTCCAATAAATTGTTTAGGGTACTGAATTTTTGAAACTATAATTATTCGTCTCAAACTTGACGAATCAAATGAAATAAAATTTTTTTTAACGAACTTTAAATACGTTTCATACGTCCTGCTTTGAGCTTGAAACATTAAACTTATAAACTCAGCGATACAATGTCCATCAGTTGCATCACAATGTACCTTACAAATAAAGATTACAAAATTTTTATCAGATGATCAAACAACGGATTCAAAGCACCGCCTTAATCATTGTCAACTTTCACGTAAGCCCAGTAAGTCGTGCAAAGGTCACACACAACTGCGCAATCGAAATTCGTAATATATCTCATCGAGAGGTATCTCGCGTTGAATAAAGCTCGCCTCACTGAATATACGCACACCCAGACAGCCATAACTAAACCCTAACACCATTAATATCAGCATTTCCGATAACAGCTTACAAAAGCCTTGCCGGCGCAAAGCCCCAGCTCTATCCCTCAAAAGACCTCCTTGGACCCCTACAAGAAATTCCTGTAAGACAGCATCGGCAGATCCCACGTACATGCATACATGCGCACATATACCTACGATCCCTAACGAAATTTACAAGTCAAGGAGGAGGCAAGAGGCCATTCCTCGTCTCATCTCTTTCTATCCTTGAACGACTGCGGGAGAAGGCAATCCTAACGAGATGCGCGAACTTTGCCTCCAGGATCCTCCCCTAGGACTCCCCCTCCCCCCCTACTATCCTCTTACTCTTTAACTCTTCGGCGACCTTTGGCTTTGTGTGATACACGCGAGAGGATGTTGCACGAAACGCCGCGTCTCTTTGACGCTTTAGTGTTTACTTTGGCGAGTTTTTTTCATTAATAGTAATCATTTTTGGAATTTGGGAGATTAGCCGAGCTGAAAAAGGGACGGGGGTCCATTGGCCTGGTGTGACTTTTGTGTGTTCGAGGAGACGATCAACTCGGAAATGTTGGCTGTCTGACCTCTTTTTCAATCATCGAACTTTTCGGTGATCGTTCAATAGCCCGTATGGATTTGCAAGTGTGTAAATAGTTGGAAAAAGAATTTTTTTTTTTTTCATTTTGATAACATTAATCAAACAAAAAGTCACGTGAGACTCACATGACTAACATTTCGCCTTCATTTATTCAGGTCGTCTTTTTGTTTGACTTTACGTGGTTTTTGTAAGATTTTTCGTATGAAAAAAATACCGTACAAGCTTGGAAAAAGAAACTTTTTCTTGCTGGTCAACGTTTTAAGATTTATTTGTTTAGCAATATCACGAAATGTTTTGCACGTGTACATTGTATTTTATACTTTGTGTTGGCTATTTGTAAATACTTTATTTTATAGTTAAATATATGTTAATAGTGTCTCGGTCGACCAAACAAGTTTACAGTCGTACGTGTTACAATTAAAAAAAAAAACTGATAAGATTACTTTTCGTTTTTTACTGTAGTTTT